TTTTTTTTTTTTTTTAAAAATAAAAGACAACCCCATACAGATTTTCATGTGTAAGAAAGTCCCACGTCCTTGGAGCTGTAGCTGTTAGTGAGGCTGTGATTCCAGCTGGTGACACAGCTAAGTCGAGGGGCGAGGGTGTGCCTGCCTTGAGGAGTGACGTCAGCGCCTCGGTGGAGCCGCAGCCTTGACTGGACGTTTGAGAGGGTGCACTAGTCAGTATTGCACAGGGGTCTCGTAAAGTCACCCGAACTCGCTCGCAACCCTAATTGCCATTTGAGGCTGCTGATGACAGTGGCTCTTGCTCTAAACCACTTTTTAGCAATTGTATTTTTTTTTCCTGATTATATCTTTTAATGTACTTTGGTGTTTATGCTGATGAGTTTTTATGTACCTTGGGTGATGTTTCAGTCTTACGTACTCTTCTGACGTCAGGACAGTACCACTGTTTGTTTGCAGCCTTGTTGTGTAACAGCCTAGCACAGGCTTCCCTGTAACGTGATTAATATTGTGCAAGTGTAAAACACTTCTGTTCCGAAAGCAGTGTTTGGAAAATAAGAAATTATTAAAATGGTTACAAAATGCTAGTTAATTTCCCTCCCCTGACTTTCCTCCCTTAAGTGTGCTTTTACCAGCTGAAGGGTCACCTCTGTGTCACTGCAGGATTCTTACCTAGAAAACGTGTTCAACCCTCTTACACACACTTGGTTCTGAAGTCTGTTCCTCACTTCGTAAGTGCGGTTGAGTTCTGTTGGGTACAGAGTGCGAGCTGTAATCTAAGGATGGAGAGGGCCTCTACCACTGTATCTTAAGATGTATGATTTCCCTCCAGTGTTTTGTTTTATACCGGTTTTGAATTTCTTTAACTTTTATTGTGTGTACTGAAAACTGCATATGTATTATTCTGATTGTTTGCTCTAGTTTACTACCAATAAAAGACCTGTTAATCACAAGATTCGACAAGGAGGCGTCACTTCACACCCAGTCGCATCTTTCAGATTTTTCTATGGACTGCGTTTCATAAAACGTTCACACCCGTGGTATAGCCTGTGGGTTAGGGACTGTTGCTTTCCCTGTGCTTTTCTTTAAACTTAAGTTTATTTCATGTTTCTAGGTTTATTTGAAGATTGGTTGACTGTTTTCTTTGTGTTTGAGGGGCACTGTATGGGAGACTAGAAATTTAACATGTGAGTTGGGACGTGCTTTATTGAGATTGGGTTGACCCTCCTAAGTCTTATTCCAGAGGGATTACTTATTGAGGCTTCCAACAAATAACATCCTTTGGTTCCAGGTTCATCCTTTTTGCCTCAGAAAGGTGGTAATAAAGTAAGAGTATGACACAAATAATAATGGCATTGAGCATTTTTCATAGGGGAAAAAAGGTATTGTTAAGTTGCAGTTAAACAGTGTTTAAAAAAAAGGGTGAAGGTATAGGCATTGGAGGGAAAGCGCTAAGCCGTGTAAACACTGAAGGTGCGGAAGAGGTATTTACAGTTTAGTAAATATGCTGACTTCTGAAGATGGGAGAAAACTAGGTGTCCGTGTAAAACCATGAGGAAATTGTGCTTTGAATGTAGTGGTTACAAATGCTGAATTAGGAGTAAAAATGTACGATACTGTTACAGGGGAATGATGGGTTAATTATATTGGGCATAACTGGGGGTTGCTCTGTGGAGGGGTATCTGCCCGTGGGCCATGTGATTGGGAAAAGTAAATTAGCTTTTTTCTCTGCCGAGGTCACTACTCGCTGCGTTTGGTCGTCTTCTTGGACACGCGTGCTCAGCGCAGTCGCCCTGGCTCTGGGGGACGCCCAGCTGCGGTTTCTCTGGGCAGGCGTCCGCCTCTGTCCTGGACACCCCTCATGTTAGTTTACCTCCCCCCACTTCTTCCTTGCGTGGAGGGGCTATATCTGGGTGCGATCACTTTAAAGTCAGGGTGTTTGCTTGTCAGATGTTAGGGTGGGAAGTAGGAGGCTCTGCTTTTGTGCGTCCCTTGTGCTGTGAATTCGGGGTAAGGACGACCGACACCTCGTGCTGTGGGGTTTGCCCGCCTGCCGCTTCCCTCTGTGGGGTGAGAACAGGTTTGCAGACAGCATCTGGGAATTCTGCTCCCTTACCCCTTGTTCAAAAAAATCTTTAAAAAGTCCCTCGTGAGATATTTTAAAAGAGATTTATTACCACAAAGAGGGCATACACTTTTAAAGTTATTTCTGCTTTCTTTTTCCCTGTTTTGCTCTTTAAAAAAGGGTGTACTGTGTGTGAGCGTGACTGCCTTTAGCAGATTCTGTTTAAATTCTCGGTGACGCTCTGGCTCGCTGCAGGGAAGACCTGCGTGACACTGTTTTGGTCACTGACTCTGGGCAGCAGATGATAGAATCGGTCTCCCAAACCCACACACGAGCAGAAATATGTTTGCACTTGAAAATTTGCAAGTCAGTCTACATGCCCACACCCCCCACCCCCATAAAAAATTCTTAACCGGTGGGCCCCGGGCGAAGAGTCCCCGCGTTAGGAGGCTGCCTAAATACTGAAACTGACTTGTACAAGTCAGTCAGGGAGGCAGCACCAGTACCTAAGCTAAAAAGGCACCAAATGTGAAGGGGACTTAAAAAAACACCCTCTCCTGCGGTTTAATGGCTTAGGCTCCGTGGAGTATATGCATTTAGGTGACATAAGGGCACAGCGTTTCTTCATAGACTGGTCAGCTAGTGAGCTGGAGAGAATTTATAATTCTCCATGGCTTCTCATCTGTAGTAAGTTGCACAGAGATGCGAGAGCTGACGGCAGCTCCGTGTTTCCCAGCCCCAGAGGAGCGCATTCACGGCGTCTGCTGACCACAGTCTCGCCCTGAGGTCCCGCAGTTCCCCAGAAGCAGCAGCCCCCACCTTTCAC